TCGTGTATACATTTGGCAAATCATGCTTTCGAAACAAGCTCTCAACGGTGTAAAAATTTATGCTCTTAATTAACTTACACTTATTATTGAGTCAAGCTTCAAAGAAGACGAGAGCCAGTTTTCCAAGGTTTTTTTTTAACCTCGATCATTCTCGAGGCATAAATCATCGTTTTCCTAGTGATTTATTTCTGTTAGCGTCCCGTGTCACGGAGGCGTGGCATGGGCGTGAATCCCGTAGTGTCTGCTTCTAATTTAATTTATTACATCGATCCCCATCGCCCATACAGCGTTAAAGATCCTGTGAATTCTTCACGCTAGACTCTGCTTAGCAGTGTGTAATCGCGTTACAGTAGTTGATCGCCCGGCGTAGATAGCTGGTACACATAGGGTGTCTCGCCGTAATTGGGTCATGGCTCTTAAGCGATAAAAGATGGAATAAAATTTCATGGGACGAAAATTCAATTAGCCTCGAATGATGTAATTCGTGTGAAAGTAGAGAAGTTTCGAAGATTGCACGGATTATCTTCATTTTTATTTATTTTTATATACTCCATGTAAAAGATTCTTCGCGCATTCGATATAGTAAAATTGATTAGTTTCGAAGTTTGATTTTAATTCACGTCTATCGCGTTCAAACAACGAGAGATAGAGAAAAGAAGAAATTATGGCCGGTCAGCGTGAAACACTCCACGTACATTTAATCTACCATTCAATGATATTCAATGATATTTTATGAAAGCGGATGATAGAAGTGGCGAGATACCATTGTTATCGTTTCTCTCCCTGACTGAATTATAACTAGTTATTATTAATAGGTTATTGTCGTGTTATTGCTCAGTGATAAATAAGATACGTTTCAATCGTTATTGATCTTTCAGTATTTCAGTATGATACGAAAGAGGATCGGTCAAATTGTTGTTAAATATCTTGCACAATATGATTATATGTCTTACGGAGTTAAGATTCTTCTAACGCACGCGTGGGAAGGCATCCATTTTGAAATATATCTCGTGAATTGTTTATTCCACTTGCGAAAGTTTATAACACCTCTCGCGAGAATGATCTCGAAGAAAAATTTTTCGCGCTGTTGTTGGCGATAAAGCGAAATTTTGCTATTGAGGCGTTGACGCTATAGAGGATACAGAAGACGAAGGTAGAAATGTCGAAAAAAAAAAAAAAAAAAAAAAAAGAAAAAAGAAAATGTCTTCTTTGTGCACAAAGGTTTCGAGCGCAAAATTAACAGCGTTTCGAGCGCAAAATTAAAAAGCCCTCTTGGTAGCTTGGTAACAAATCCGAGATTCATCGTTACGTACGAAAAGCGATGGAAGGAGAGAAGGAAGGGGGTAGAAAGAAAAAAAAAAGGAAGCGAAAGAATGCGAGGAGACAAAATGGGGATGTGCTTGGAAAGTTTCAATGAGAATAAACGAAACTGTGCTCGCCCTTTCGTTCGGTCGCGTGAGCATTCTTTCCATCCGTGTGCGTGTACAAGGATGCGAGAGAAAAGAAGAGTTCTAGAATGGAGGGACAAAAGAAAATGGAGTACGAGCAAGAAGCACTAAATCTAATTGCCCGGCGACGTCGTGGAAAACAAACGACGAGACACTCTTGTTCCACATTTTCCTTCTCTTTTTTTCGTTTTACTTCTTTCTATCCTTTCTATCTTTTTTTGTTTTATTTTATTTTATTTTTTTATTTATTTTTTTTTTTTATTATTTGAATCTATTGTTTCAATAATTCATAATCGGACGATGTAAATGGCACGGTGGCTTTCGAAGGGTTCGAGATCACTCGAATTCCTGTAATAAAATTCTGTGGAAACATTTCTGTGAAAACTTCGATGAAAGTTATTATTATTATTGGTTTCAAAAATTGATTATTTGGACAGTTTATTAAATGTTATTTATTTATCAAAAAATTATTTGATAAGTTTTGAGGTTTTAAAAGTATTCTTTTTTTTTTTTCAATAAGAATTGTTAATTTTTATGTACATTCATTCGTGGCTAAAGTTCAACTAAGGAAAGTAATATCATCAATGATCGTGGAAGGAATGGAGAATCTTTTTATTAAGCAATTTATTAAGCTATATAAATTGTTAATTACTCGTTTCTCTAGAAGAAATTTTTATAATGGTTAAACAGGGACAAATTATAGGCAAAGAACTAATTACGGGAAAAAAAAGATAAAACTTATTTAAGGAGTAAAAAAATTTTATATGTCTTTGGAATCGCGGGAAAATTCTTAAAAGCAAAAGGTTAAAAGTAATACGATTGAAACGAAAGCTTTAAATTACTGAAACATTTAGCAAGAAACTGAGACATCTAAATAAAATTAAACATGAAATGTAAATGCATCAAAGACGAAAATTAACTTTGCTCAGTCTGCATGTAATCGTGAAAGAAACTGAAAAAAAATAACAAGATTTAAATATGTTATTCTCTTGATGAGTATATTTTTAATGGTTTTTAAATATAGTTAATCTTTGATTAATTAAATTTTTTTATGTCAAATTTAAACACTAAAGTAAATTATATTTGATAATTTTTGATATTTTAACAAAATATATAGCATAATATTTTGGTTAAGAGATATATTACATCTTTTTGAAATACGTAATTATTAAAATTAAAAAATAGCGCAAAATTTCCAATGTGTTAAAAACAAAAATATATAAATAATATTTTATTAGATTTTTTTGCTTATAATTTATATCACTCTATGTTACATAATATATGCGACTATACGTAATTACATAAAATATTTATTTCAAAAACATGAAAAGTAATAAACCTCACTTTCTCGTTTAAGTTAGTTAATGGCGATATTAAGTGTCTATCTCTATCAATCATCTCTATTAATCTTTACGCGCCATCGAGAAATTTGATGAAAATAACCTTCTATCGTTTAAATTACAAAATCCAATATGGTGGACGAGAGAGCTTATCAAACGAGTCTCTATAATTTCTATTTTATATCTAAACAATATTGACTTTTCTTTTCATTAACGGCTAACGATTTAAAGACTTTTTTTTTTTTAAATTTTACTCTTTTTACTTCTTTTAATATCCTCTTAGCGGCAATTTTAACCGAGGAAAAAATAATAATCAATACAAAAAAAAAAAATCAATACATTACAAGATTCTGCACGAAAGAAGATAAGAGTTTAAAAATTCATCGAGTACACATACACTAGACTAACCTCCAACTGAACGCTTCCATTGTGATTTTCGATGCGATGTTCCCTTCAAATTCCATTTTTTTTTTTTTCAAAAACGAAGTACTGGAAAAAAAAAAAAGAAAATTGGGGAAAAAAGCCCTGTTCTCTTTTATTCAGCTTATTTTTGTTTGCAGAACAGCCCGCTGCCCGGTTTTGTAATCTTCCTTCAGTTGGTAGCTAGCCAAGTGCACGTGTACTCGACGAACTTCCAAACTTGATTTTATAGAAAACGAGGCTTTGAACGAGAAAAAAAAAAAAAATTTTGCCTCCCATTTTACAATAAAATAACTTTACGATTAGATTAATCTTCCGATACTACTTGCGCTTAAAAACATCTCGTAAAAACGTCAAGTCGAAGATTCGAAATTCTTGAAGAAAAAAAAAAAAAAAACAAAACAGATCGTCAGATTCGTTACACGAAACAGAATCTCGATAACACTTTTCCACACAAGCCATTTAAATGACTGAAAAGCCTCGCGGCCGCAAGTCTTCGAGGAAGCATGAAAATTGAATGCAGACGTGATTTAAAGCCGCAAGAAACACGAGCAACGTGACGAGGGGCAGAGTAGGGGAGGGGAGAAGAAGAAGGAAGAGGAGGAGGAGGAGGAATCACACGCAGTAGGCACACACGTGACTTTTGTTGGCAGGCCTGGCGCGCCTGGTAAGGCAACCGACAAGGAACAAGTTTTAATTCCTCGCGTCCGCGGCTCATGACCCCGGGGGGACTTCTTTTTTTCTTTTCTTTTTCTTTTTTCTTTGTTGCCACGATCGAAGTGGGTCAAGCCTACTTCCGCCTACTACTAGGCGGCGTGCTCGAGCTGCTACACCATCGTCATCGTCATCGCTGTTGCGGCCGACGTTGCGGCTCTCGTCGAAATCGAAATCTGCCCGTGGGAAGCCAGCCCCCCGGTCTTCCTCATACGAAAATTGCTGGCTCCAGGGTAGCAGGGATCGCGATAAGGGAATGCACCGTGCGAGCGAGGTTGTTGCTGGCATGATACGTACGTTGTGCCACCGTAATTCGGTTTATGAGATAAAACCGTGTAAAATAATTTAATGTGAAGTGGAAAAAAATTATTGGTCATTAGTTGGACGCAAAGTCGTATGAATTATGTTTGAAGATGGAACGATTGAAATTTTAAATTTTAAAATTAAATTCGATTAAATGGAATTACGTTGGAGAGATTGGAGGGGGATGAGTGAAAATCAATGGCATCGAGACATCCGCGACAATTTGCTAAAAGACGGTATTCGAATTAGAAAGCGGCGATTAACCACTTCACGAAGTCGCAAATAACAAGGCGGAACAACAGAGGCGAGGCAAGCCTCGTCGCCGAGGAGAAAACTTATTATCACTCTGCGAATAGCCGATCGTTCAATTACGTTTTCTCCTTTTCCTGTTTTCGCTTCCACGCGATGCAACCTCCGCGTTGTTTTTTGCGAGCCATTTCGTGAAAATACAGAAAAAAAAGACTAAGTGAAACCGTGAAACTTGGTTCTTTGGATTTCAAGCAAGATGATGATGATGATGCGCTCCCACGCTAAAAGCAAGTTTCCTCGAGCAGAAATATTTTTTTCTTTGATGTAAATTCTTGTTTCAATTTGATTTGCAATATATCATGTTCTTATTCACATAAATAATTTATTTTTTTATAAAATTAAATTGTAACAGATAATCGCCACTTTCTATAAATATAGAATACCACTTTTCAGGGAAATTTTGAAAAATTTTATTTTTATTTAGAAAACATATCCGCTTATAATTTAAAAAAATATATACAATTACCTGAGTTAATTTTTCCATAAACGTTAACTCTTGTTCAATCTTCTCCAAAACTCCGTTACAATCGAGAGATCATAATTTCATCCAAGGCCCTGGAACAAACAAAATTAAAAGAAAAAAATTTTCAAAGTAAAATTCCTTAATCACTTGAATGTGATATATAATTACACAAATATATCAAACTTGAATTTCAATTTCATATAATTTGCAATTAATACATTTCCAGACCATATCCAGTATTAGTACCAAAATAACAGATCCTGAAATAGATACGCTCTTCTATCTCATCCATTCTTATCTAACTTTTCATCCACTGGCAATCATTCCCATAAAACGTTCGATTCGATTCGTATCGTCGTTTCATTTCGACTCCGAAATATCTCAAACAAGCGATCCCAACAATCGTGTCATAAATCACCTGACAACGTATAATCTAAAACGCTCGCCTCGCAACAACAAAACGGCCAGTCACAATGCCGGTGGAATGGGTCTCAACTTTTTTAAGCGGATTTCGCGTTCTTGCTCCGCGAGAAGGTATCCCTCCATTTGTTATTCTCAATGCCTCCATGAAATCGCGAACGTAACACGCGTTTACGCTCGTAGTCGCAAGAAACGCATCCACTATTTTCCCTTTAGATGCTCGACCGGTATGGGATAAACAGTTTGTTTGAAAAATAATGGGATTGATAACGCATAAAATCGAATGCTTATATTCGTGTTGGTGAAAATCCGTCCGTTTCTTTCGTCGATGTAATTTAACACGCAGAAAGTTGATTTGACAAAAAAAAAAAAAAAGAAAAAATTATAAAATGATTTGTTAAAAACGCAAATGGTATTCGTTACTCGATCATTAAATCAAATTCATTTCATGGATATGATTTTTTAATGAAATGCAATTTTTAAATCTCGAACGTTTAAAATTGTACGTACTTCTTGAAATTTATATAAACATTATGCAGAATACGAATCAATATATTTGATATATTGGCGATGAGTTGATTTTAGAAGGAAAAAAAGTCGATTTAGGCTTATTTATTAAGCGATTGAATTTTGCATTTAGATAGAGCGAGACAGGGTGATAGAGTGAGATATCTTATACTTAGTTACACTTCCTCGCCGTGCTGTGGCGCGACATGTCATTCTGTCTCTATCTCGCTTCATCTAACGTAAACTTAAATCATAACTTAATGAATAAATTTTTCATACTTATTTTAACCTCTAGAATCAATAATCTATAAAATATTTCACTTTACATAAATTTCATGTTAATTGAAATTTTTTTATATTATAAATTTACAAAGAAATAAATATTATTTCTTAAAATCTATTATATTTCAACGATGATATTTTCAAGCATATTCATTCTTCTATATATAACCTTTTCACATCTTGAAAACTACAGACATATTCTATATCCATGAAATATTGATAAACGTACGTTGATATAAAACGATCGACAGATGACGTTTCCGAAGAAACGAGTGAAAAAAAAAGAAAAAGAAAAAGATCTTTTCAGACACAGTGTACATAGATAAGAAGACAGCAGAACAAAACGAAAACGGCGATCGACGGTGTAAATTTTAAGTATTTCCCATCTTTCCAACTGGAACTTCGAACTTATCTCTCTCATCGTTCCACCCATCCACTCCCTTCCAACCCTCGAATTTCCATTTTCCCTTCAACTTCACCGGGTGACGCAAACGCGACACGGAAAGACGAGGACAGAGAGCACGGAGGGAGGGGAGGGAGAAGGATCGCTCACGTTTCTTCACGACGGTGAAAAAGTCGTTCCGATCGAATGGAATCGTCATCTTTAAGCGGCGAATCGAGCGGACAGCCGCTCCTCCTCCCAGCTGCTTCTTTCCCCGAACAACCTTCTATTATCTCCTCGTGCACCTCCCGCGGGGTTTCCCTCTCGAAAAACGTTCTTCGATGAGAAACGAGCCGTTGGACGTAGCGAGTAGTACGAATTTGAACGCGTCCATTCCTCGTTTTTCTTAGATTTTACGGGTCAGTTTTAACCCTTTCGCTATAGCCTCAAGCGACTACAATCGGTCTCCATAAGATGCCGCATAAGAATATCAATTATAATACATATTTATAGAAAACTATATATTTAATTTAATAGATTTTAATTTATATAGTGTAAATTTATTATTGGTTTATAAGTTAATAATTTTAAAAATATTATTTTTAGGATTGATTATAGGATATAATTTTTAAATGTACGATACAACAATCTTATTAGAGTCGAGTGTCTTTCTATGGAAACGTAGCATCGATATTTCGTTTTTGATCGCCAATTTTCTTTTTTTTTCTTTCTTCAATAAACACCGTCAAAGCAACTCGAATTGCGTAAGAAGAGGCGTAAGAAGTCGCTTAGAAAGAATTGATAAATACAGATACACGCGAGATCGATTGGGTTTCGAAGCAATTTGTATCGTTTCGAGTATCACGTGAACGATTACACTGGCGGGAAACCAATGTTTCTGTTATGGCAGCCAGTTTCCAACGAAATGACGGGAGAGCGGTTTGGGCAAACGGTGGGTCGAAATATAAACGCGTGCGTATATAAGGGGGACGAGAGTCGAGAAGTTTCTCTCGTCGGTAACTTCATTCTAATTTCCAACGGGAAACGGGCTTAAGAGAAAATAATTCACCGGATATTTTGGAATAAATTTGCCGCGCGCGACGGCAGAGGAAGAGGGGGGGAGGAGGGGAGGACGAGGAGGGAGGGAGGGAGGGAGGGAGAGAGGGGGGAAAAAAAAGGACGGTGTTAAGCAGCGCGGCCGCTTTTCCACGGGGGTGTAAATTATGCTCTTCTTACAGGCCGGTACGCGGCAGTTTTCACTCTATCCGAGGCTGGCCGGCTCTGTATTTATGTTACGAGTTATTAAGAGAAAGTTTCAGGTTTTATATCGAGTAACGTCCCACACGATGCGCTCGTTGGAGAAACGAGCCTGCTTGTGTTCCAGCCGATATTAAAACCTTTAACCGCGAAACAGACCCTGGCTTGTGTCTTTTTTTTTTTTTTTCAGAGCGAAGAGTTTGATTTTGGTAAAATCGTCTTCGATTATGAAATCTCGCTCGATACCAATTTTCTTAAGAAGCGATTGCAACGTTTTCGAAAAAATTAATAAATTTTTAACAGGTTTTTAATAAACTCGAAACGAAACGAATCGATATTCATTTTTCCCCGGACTGTTCACACTTTTATGCAAATCTAGAAATCGTTGCGAACTAAAGTAATTTTTCAACGATTCTCTTTCCCTCTCCCTCTCTCTCTCTCTCTCTCT